CAGCTCCAGGCAGCCGGAAAAATGCTCACACAGATCCAGAGGAGCCCTGGGCCACAGTATGCGTCAAGCGGTTCTTGACAGAGTTGGGAGTGCGGCACCAGTTCACAGCCCCGTAAAAACCACAAGAAAATCCCACGGAGAGGGCCAATAGAACTGTAAAAACAATGATCGCCCAGTTCGCCGGACAAGACCAGAGAACGTGGGATGAGAAATGGCCAGAATTGCAGCTGGCCGTGAACACTAGTGTAGCCGAAATCACAGAGTATTCGCCGGCATTCGTCACGCAGGGTAGAGCGCCTTGTTTGATGAAGAAACCACCGGCACAGGAAGGGAAACCCAGACCCCGTCGGAGAATGCGAAAAAAATAAACGAAATCTTCGAGCTGGTCAGACGGAACATGGAGAAGGCGGCGCAGGATCAGGCGCGCCACTACAATCTCCGGAGGCGCCCTTGGAAATCACAGATCGGAGACCCGTTATGGGCCAAAGAGCACCAACTATCCAAGGCAGCAGAAGGATTCGCGGCGAAACTGGCCCCCAGATACGAAGGAATGTTTGAAATAATTAATTTCGACTCTCCGGTTATTTGCAACCTGCGGCACGACAGTCTCAACAAATCCGGCGTGTCGGAGGAGCACTGTACCCTAACCGAAGAAAGGGGGAGGACGATACACGGTATCGAAATTAACGGTCAAGCACACACACACAGGCACACACATCAGGAGCGCGAGAGCGGGACAGGGAGGGTTAAAAATCCGTAGGCACCGTTACTGGCTAAACGCACACATGCACGGGTCGCGTAGGAGACGTGTACACGGAGGGCACCGTTACCGCACAGAGCGGAGAGCGAGTCCCGTTACCGGTACACGTCTCCGCGAATAACGGAACCGAGGATACGCGGAAGAACCGAGGTTTCGTCAGTGACGGCGCGGCATGGTTCAGATCTTTCCAATAAAGATCATCAACATGAGCGCACGTAGCAACAGCACCCAGCAACGAGTGGAGCACGAGGTGAGGGATGAGCGCGCCGGGGAACATCCAGTAGCGAAATGGAGACGGGACTCCGATTCCGTCCTCCAGCTTCTGGCGTCCCCCCTGGTGTCGCGATCCCCGGCAACGGTCAGCGAGGCTGACCAGGAGTCCACCGGTGAGATCTCGGACGTGGAATTGCCGTCCGAGAAGGAGGATGTAGGTCCGAGCGCGACGGAGGTCGGAGAGGTCGTCGACATAACCTCTGATGAGAGTGGACAGGAGGACGCGAGTGTGGAGGAGGAGGGGACTGAGACCGTCAGTCCCGAGGTGTCATCGGACGAGGACAACGCGGCGCGGCGAGCTGCGAGCTGCGAGGGACCGGATGATCTTCCGCCGGTTGAGCAGGGCGACGGCAGGGCTCGGGAGGATCTGCCAAGGGCAGATACCACCGTCGGGCAAGCCCAAGGAGTGGGCTTTATCAGCAGACGGTCACATGGACGTGGCCCGCGACCGAGGATGCCCGGATGCGGGAGGCAATCGAGGCCATCGATTGGCAGTGCCCACCGCCGTTGAACCCGCGCGATCCGAAAGACAAATCGGCGAAACGCGTCGCGGAGACGGCCGATCGCGAGGCCCAGGAGGTGCTGGAGAAGGGGCCATGGGAGTAGCCATCACAGACGTCGCGGGACGCGGCGCCACCCCCGAAGCTGGCGCTGCAAATCTCGTGCTCGGAGCCGCGAGCCCCACCGGCGAGGCCGACGCTGCGGAGACAGCAGTCGGAGGGCGCGGAACCGTGGTCGGAGGTTTCGGAGGCGGAGTGGCCGACGCGAGTGGCCGAAGAGGCGCGACGGCAGCGAGGGAGGCGCAGCAAGGACAGGTGGGCCAAGCTCATGCTGGGCGGAGGAGAGCGCTACCGAGTAAAGGTAGCAGGGGGCCGGGCCCAATAAAGTGGATCCCAGTACGGAAGCCCAGCAGTTGTTATTTGGGTTTCAGAGCGCTGTCGGGGGAGTCTTACGAGGAGACACCGTGAATTAACGGTAACGCGCTGGACATTGGACCCTCACACGGCAAGGGCAACAGGGTCGAACGGTAAATTTGCGGACTTCGGACCCGCACAAAGAGGACGCACCGTGAACTAACGGAGTGGACCTTGGACCCGATCACGCGAGCTGGAAAAGGGAAATAACGGGACCATCACAGTCTATAAAAGGCGGCGCAAGCGCAGCACACAAGGAAGTAATAGTGCGAGAATCAGAGCGAGTGCGTGTACGCGAGACCAGTAGCAAGTTAATCAAGTGCCGAGTACCAGGATCAAGATCGCAAAGTCGAGACGCCGAACGACTGAGAGTCTACAAGGCTGAGGCTTCAACGCTGAGATCCAACGGGTTAAATCGAGCTCAGTGAGTCCTTGCGTGGAGTCTGCGATAAAGGTGGCTGGGCGAAGAGGTCGAACCTAGTTCTACCTGCTGGGCGATACACCTTGCCGACACAATCCGGACCAACTTAGGGGCCAGCGATAAAGGTGGCTAGGCGAAAAGGCAGAACCTCGTTCTACCTGCTAGGCGAAACACCTTGCCGATCCCGACAGTGGGATTCGCATAATATCCAGAGTCTCGAAGGAGTCGTCACGAGTCAGATACCAGCAAGCAGTCGACGACGAGGAGCGACGCCGCGAAGGACAGCGGCAGCTGAAGCAGCAGCTGAAGAACCGCGAGGCTTGTATAAGGAGACAAATAAAGACAGTTACGATCCCAACAGAACTCTTGCGTTATTCATTGGTCAAAGGCAATCACCCAATATAAATTTGGTGGAACGAACCCATAACCTATCTGGGCAAGCCGCCCGTTAACGTAGCGAGCGAGAATACATAAGAAATCAGGTCGTTACAAATACAATTGCACAAAAATTTAAGCAAGCAAATACTATTTCAGCGACGCTAGCTGATAAATGACGGTAGCTTAGTTGAAGCTCCAAAACTTTTTAAATGCCACTATATATTTTTAGCACTTCATGTAAGCGAGCAATACTCATATTCCAAATAAAAGAATGGTTTTTTTTTATAACTTTTGTTTAGCGTTAAATTTTATTAAAAAAATGATTAATAATAGAAAAAAGAAGTGTGAAAGAATAAAACTTAAGTGTTTATTGTTTATTTTATTCCTATCAATTACTTATATTATAATTTGTATTTGGTGCTTATGATTTATTTTTGTTTGGTTTAGAAATACTTAAGATAATTTTAATTTTTTCGAAAACATTTGTTCATAAAATTGTATTTTATTTAACTAGAATTCACAACTTCATTAACTTTACGCGCACCTGTTAAAAAACACACAACCCAGTTACTGGTCCCAAAGGGGCGAATAGGTGGCCGATCCCTTTTGTATCCCAATGGCAACCACGCGAACGACAGGGACGTTCTCGCACTTCATTTGTGTGAGTTTTTTGCACGGCGAAAAACAACTTGTCAATATGTGTATGCGACGACAACTGCATATTTATACTGTTCGCCAGCGCACTGCCGTTAATTATTAGAGGCATTAGAGGTAGTCTAGTGGATCGGCGTTCTATAGCGAGCTTGCTCTTTATCAACGATGTTATAATTGGTTATATTGATAATCCATTCATATTAAGCTCAATTAAATTCAATATCCCAGCCAGGAGTCTCCGTACCGTCATCCCATTTTTTAAAGTGCTGCGAGGACTAACTATGAGCGGAATGAGCCAATCTTAAGAACTTTAAGATTTTTTAACTCTTTGCCACTAAGTATTCGATTGGTTTGGGGATCCAGAAGGTTGCTGAGGGAATATTTATACCCTTGCAGAGGGTATTATAATTTCAGTCAGAAGTTTGCAACGCAGTGAAGGAGACATCTCCGACCCTATAAAGTATATATATTCTTGATCAACATCACTGGTAGAGTCGATCTAGCCATGTCCGTCTGTCCGTCCGTCTGTCCGTCTGTCAGTCTGTCCGTCCGCTTATATGCAAACTAGTCTCTCAGTTTTAAAGCTATCTGCATGAAACTTTCCCAAAGGTTGTCTTTCTATTGCAGGTAGTATATAAGTCAGAACGAGCCGGATCGGAAGACTATAGCATATAGCTCCCATAGGAACAATCGGAAAAATAAATGAAAAAAAATTATAACTTTGCTGTTTTTGTTTAGTTCTTCGACGTTTAGTAATGGTTAAATATTTCCGATTTACGGTTTAAATTATATCAAAATCGGACGACTATAGCATATAGCTTCCATAGGAACAATCGGAAAAATAAATGAAAAAAATTATAACTTTACTGACATTTAGTAATGGTTAAATATTTTCGATTTACGGTTTAAATAATATCAAAATCGGACGACTATAGCATATAACTCCCTTAGGAACAATCGGAAAAATAAATGAAAAAAATTATAACTTTTCTGTTTTTTAATTTTTTGTTCAGTTCTTCGACATATAGCAATGGTTAAATATTTCAGAATTATGGTTCAGATTTTATCAAAATCGGACGTCTGTATCATATAGCTCCCATAGAAATAATAAAAATATATAAAATAACTATCAAATAATTGAGCTGCTAATCATCATAGCTTCAATGTTTTTAAACATATACGCAGTAAATCATAATTTTAATGTTTTCAAAAATGTTAAATTCATGCAATAGCTGCAAGGGTATATGAACTTCGGCTTGCCGAAGTTTGCTTTCTTTCTTGTTTTTAATTAATATTTAGTTATAAAGTTAAGGTAGCTGAGAGCCAGATAAGGATTTATCCATCCTTTGGCGAATAAATAAATAAATTTTATGCACGCATTTTATATTCTGCGAATGCCTAGACATAGAGCCAAACATGTGTAACAAACATAATTAAGTTGGCAGCAATATTCCCATGTATTCTCTAATTGGAATCCGCTATACACCATATCTCTTTGTATAAGATGTCTTATCATTATATTGTATAATCTTTCATAATAGATACACATTAGAGCAACAATACCTGTCAATCATATTTTTTTAATATTGTTTCTTTATAGATATTGTGTTGAATATAAACTAAAGCTTTGAAATAAATAAAAAGTTTTATTTTATAAGGAAATGGAAAGAGTCTAGACAAGAAAATCGACCCTTTCCGATGTGGACCAGCACCGCAAAATTAAACAAACGTTTTTAACTTGTCGGATTGAATTTTATGTGTAGGGTTGTGAAAGACTTTCGCATACAAGCTCGACTATAACACGCTTTGGAAATGGAGCATCTGGATCTTGCGGTCTATCTTGGCAGCACAACCCAAAGTTGGAATTGTCTGGGCGCATTTGATCAGCAAGGTATGTGCTACGTTTCGAAAAGTAGGACTCAAAGAAAAGAAGATCACGATGGCTAAAGCAAGAAAGGAAGCTAAATAAGGCAACTTGAAGTTTTTAATATATCCTTGCAGCTATTACAAAAGCTAAATATTCTATACAACGACTATAGTTCGATTTGCATACCTATACTAGCTTATTTTGAGTCATTATAATTATTTTGTCCATATCGAAAAAATGCGTACACTGCAGTGTTTCTGTTCAATTCTGTATCACTTGTTTACCTACATACATAAAATAGATTATGCATATGTTATTCTATGGTGTAAAAACTTTAGTTTTAACAATTTTTACAAACTATGTCCAGCTCTAGCATATAACTTGTATTAGAAAGTTGAAGAACGTTCTTTTTGTAGTAGAACAAGCTATCGATCGGTTAAGCAGAACTGGATTTAAAAATATAAGTTAAAAAATTCTGTCATACAAAATACAATTTAATTTTGTAAGGCAGTATATTAATTAAAGTGATGTGGGATGCACACTATATTTTGTTTCAATCTGGTGCTTAAACAAATAAATCAAAAGGATTTTTGACCCATGAGCAGGCCATGTAAGAAGCATGGACGCTCTTTGTTGATAGGTATTACGAGACCGATTCGCCCTGGAAACTGCAATTGTTTGAGCTCGAATGGCATATTTATCGGGCTTATTGGGATATATTAAGCTTCATTGTTGAATTTTTCAGTCAAAATTGTTGGCGCGATAAAATTGTTCATCAATTTCTTGACTCAGAGCCTGGTGCTGTCGAAGAAGAAATGTAAAAATTTTCAATGTAAGAACGTGCGGTGGCATGCCCTGCAAATCAAGTGAATTCATGAATTGAGTTCGAAAACCGACGACTTCGTATAAATTCACCACAGTATCGATATGTTTTCTTATTCCATTTTAAATGGTGAAGTTGATGATATTGGCATCCACGTTTTTATACCCTTGCAGAGGGTATTATAATTTTAGTCAGAAGTTTGCAACGCAGTGAATGAGACATCTCCGACCCTATAAATTATATATATTCTTGATCAGCATCACTATCTATCCATGTGCGTCCGTCTGTCCGTCCGTTTCTACGCAAACTAGTCTTTCAGTTTTAAAGCTATCTGCATGAAACTTTCCTCAAAGTGGTCTTTCAATTGCAGGTAGTACACGTATATAAGTCGGAACGAGCCGGATCGGACGACTATAGCATATAGCTCCCATCGGAACAATCGAAAAAAATAAATAAAAAAAATTATATGTATATTCGGTGTTTTTTAATTTTTTTTATTTCTTCGACATATAGTAATGACTAAATATTTCAGAATTACGTTTTAAATTTCATCAAAATCTGACGACTATAGCATACAGCTCCCATAGGAACAATCGGAAAACAAAATTACAAAAAAAATTATAACTTTGCTGTTTTTGAATTTTTCTATTAGTTCTTCGACATATAGTAATGGTAAAATATTTCAGAATTACGGTTTAAATTTCATCAAATTCGTATGACTATATTATAAAGCTCCCATAGAAATAATATAAATATATAAAATAACTATATAATAATTGAGCTGCAAATCATCATAGCTTCAATGTTTTTAGACATATACGCAAGTAAATTATAATTTTAATGTTTTCAAAAATGTTTAATTCTTGCAATAGCTGCAAGGGTATATGAACTTCGGCTTGCCGAAGTTTGCTTTCTTTCTTGTTTTTATATATTTTTATGATTGTTCCTATGGGAGCTATATGCTGTAGTCGTCCGATCCGGCTCGTTCCGATTTATATACTACCTGCAATAGAAAGACAACTTTTGGGAAAGTTTCATGCAGATAGCTTTAAAACTGAGAGACTAGACTTTTTATTAAAAAATTTAATACGCTCTGGAAGGCTATAAAAATATGAAATGAAATCAATACAAAATTCATATAATATTCATGATTTAAATTAAAACAAAAAATTTATTTTATTGCTAGTAATTAATATTTAATTGTTTAATTCTCCGTTTTTTTTTTAGTTAAATAATAATTGTTTAAATTATTTGAAAAATTAGTCTTATTATTTTTAATAAATGTTTAAATTTTATTTATAATTATTTTTCCAATTGTAGTTATAGTTATGTGAGCGGTGTTAAAAGCACGGAACAATGATTGTCAAACTGTGTGGGAGCTTGCAGTTATGACAGATGTTTTAATTTTGTGTTCAATGCATGTTTTTTTTGTTTTCTCACGTATTTATAGATTTTATAGAAAATATAAAATAACTAGCTTTAAGTTCACTTATATATGTTCTCCACGTCCAAAAGATATTTTGCCGGTGTAAGGGTGTTCTGTTTATGTAAATGTTATGACGTATTTTTAGAATTTGATGATTAGAAAAAGGTATTTAATTGCAATTAAATTGTGTAACGAACTTTTCTTGGTTATTTGCTTGCTACGAATATCGAGCGTCTAGCTCAGAAGATGTATGTGTTCGTCCCCCCAAATTTATATAAACGATATTACCGTATTGATCAGTGAAAACGCACAGAGTATAAAAGGATTTTTATTCGCCGACTTGACCCTCGGCCTAGGTTTGGTAGGTTCCTTCCCATGTTGAACGGCTCGCTGGGTTATGACTGCTGCAGAGTGATGTCTCCGTCGCCTGCTATGCTCGTTTTTTTGCTGCCTTTGGCTCGGCGGGATAACAGGGCTTAGGGATGCGTCACCGTTTCCATAACATGCACTGTGCTCTCAAGGCGTACGCCTTTCGCAGCCGCAGCTTCCTGTCCCTTGCTCTGCCCCGGTCGGTCACACCGGACGTCGGCTAAGTTTCGACCTGACGGTTCAAGCGTACGCCGGAAGCCGCCAACGCAGTCCCTTGGTCAAACGCCAGGTTCTAGACGAACGCTTCCACCCTACCCTCTCTGCCGCAGACTTAAGAAGTCGGCGTATCTGCTGCTCGCATGGCGCTTGTCGTTCGTCGTCCTTGGTGTCCTCGTTGTCCTTGCTCTGCCTCCGGATATGTTGACTGGCTCCGCTCCTTGTTGGCGTAGCGCTCGCGATTCGGTAAGCTGCCGTTGTGGGACTCTAGCGATAAACTGCATACGCATACGCTTTTCGAGACACTAGCTGGACAAACGCGCGTCCTTCCGGGCTAGTTGCACCAGGACCTTGTACAATTATTGCAGGACGATGAGGCATACGCCGGAGTTCGCCAGTGCAGTCCTTGTAGGCAGGTAGCTAGTTCTAGACAACTTTTATTCCGTGCCCACGGTTCCTTGTCGAAGGACTCTATTTGTTCAACTCTGTCGGACACGCCGGGTAGGATGCCAAGCTCAAATTGCGACAGAAGTTGTGACAAAGCGCCTGGACTTAGCTGTGTGATGCCGTAACGACCTCAGCTACCTGTGTCTCAATTCGGAACGTCTCGCCGTAGTGATCTTGCTCATTGTTGACTCCGCAGAGGATATTATAATTTCAGTCAAAAGTTTGCAACGCAGTGAAGGAGACATTTCCGACCCTATAAAGTATATATTTTCTTGATCAGCATCACTAGGCGAGTCGATCTAGCCATGTCCGTCTGTCCGTCTGTCCGTCCGTTTATATGCAAACTAGTCTCTCAGTTTTAAAGCTATCTGCATGAAACTTTCCCAAAAGCTGTCTTTCTATTGCAGGTAGTATATAAGTCGGAACGAGCCGGATCGGACGACTATAGCATATAGCTCCCATAGGAACAATCGGAAAAATAAATGAAAAAAAATTATAACTTTGCTGTTTTTTAATTTTTTGTTTAGTTCTTCGACATTTAGTAATGGTTAAATATTTCCGATTTACGGTTTAAATTTCATCAAAATCGGACGACTATAGCATATAGCTCCCATAGGAACAATCGAAAAAATAAATAAAAAAAAATTATAACTTTGCTGTTTTTTTTTTTTTTTTGTAGTTCTTCGACATATAGTAATGGTTTAATATTTCAGAATTACGTTTTAAATTTCATCAAAATCGGACGACTATATCATAAAGCTCCCATTGAAATAATAAAAATATATAATATAACTATCTAATAATTGAGCTGCAAATCATCATAGCTTCAATTTTTTCAGACATATACGCAAGTAAATCATTATTTTAATGTTTTAAAAAATATTTAATTTTTTGCAATAGCTGCAAGGGTATATGAACTTCGGCTTGCCGAAGTTTGCTTACTTTCTTGTTAAATTTTTATTTAGTTCTTCGAGATATAAATATTTCAGAATTACGGTTTAAATTTCATCAAAATCGGACGACTATAGCATATAGCTCCCATAGGAACAATCGTATAGCTGCCATAGGAACTATCGAATATTTAAGCTGCAAATCTATATAGCTTCAATGTTTTTAAACATACACGCAAGTAAATCATAATTTTAACGTTTTCAAGAGTATTAAGTTTTTGAAATAGCTGCAAGGGTATATGAACTTCGGCTTGCCGAAGTTTGCTTGCTTTCTTGTTTTTTATATTTTTTTGACATTTAGTAAAAGTTAAAATTTCGGAATTACGGTTTAAATTTAATCAAAATCGGACGACTATAATTTTTGGAAGATTAATGTCGTCCGATTTTAAAACAATAAAAATATTAAAAAAAAAAAAACAATTTTTATACCCTTGCAGAGGGTATTATTATTTCAGTCAGAAGTTTGCAACGCAGTGTAGGAGACATCTCCGACCCTATAAAGTATATATATTCTTGATCAGCATCACTAGGCGAGTCGATCTAGCCATGTCCGTCTGTCCGTCCGTCTGTCCGTCTGTCCGTCCGTTTCTACGCAAACTAGTCTCTCAGTTTTAAAGCTATCTGCATGAAACTTTTCCAAAAGTTGTCTTTCTATTGCAGGTAGTATATAAGTCGGAACGAGCCGGATCGGACGACTATAGCATATAGCTCCCATAGGAACAATCGGAAAAATAAATGAAAAAAAATTATAACTTTGCTGTTTTTTAATTTTTTGTTCAGTTCTTCGACATTT